AATCATTTTTGCAACATACCGGTTAATTGTTATGCAATCCTCGAGTACTAGTGCTGCATCTGCATTGTTCATGAATCTAAAATGTGAGAAATAGTAATTTTAAAGGGAACCGTTTGTCGCAGAATAAGTTTCAGTCGTTACATAAAGAAGATATTTCAAATTCTCTTTGTGAGTGATATGGAGAGATAAAAGAACCTGTAACAGATGGCACTATTTATCATCCATTTCTATAAAAATATGTTGCTTAACCAAAATTATACAAAGGTCACACATATTTGGAGAACTGATCAGGCGTATTTTATGTGCCACTATGACTATGTTTAGCCGCGGCTATATATTTGGAACGAATTATATTCGCCAATAGGACATGACTCTAAAATTACTCCAGCGGCTATTGCAAAGGACCGCACACTTGTCGGCAATAAAATTCACACGTCAGTTTTGTGAAAATCGCAGCTTATCGCATCGCAACCGTGCGCTCTCGAGACCCGCAATTCATTTTAATTTACGTTAATACAGTCACTGTCTTAGTCAGATGGTATTAAGGAAGTTATAAGTAGCACTTTTGATTAAATCATCTTCAAGATAAGTGGTAGTTTCGATGACACAGTTCATCGTCTATAGAAAGTAATCTACAAGGTTTGGCCGCAAAGTAATAGGACTGAGTCGATTTTAAAAAATTTATTGAGCCAATCGTTACAATTCTTTAAAAACTTTCAAAATTGGCTCCTTCTGCGTCGATGCAGCGCTACCAGCGCGATTTCCAAGCATTGAAGGCGTCACGGAAGGCATTCTCCGGAATAGCCTTGAGAGCCGCGGTGCAAGCTGTTTGGATCCCCTCTGTCGTCTCAAAATGCTTGCCTTTCATCGGCCTTTTCAGGCGAGGAAACAAAAAAAAGTCCGGGGGGGGGGGGGGGGGGCAAATCTGGGCTGTAGGGCGGCTGCGGAAGCGTTGGGATGCCGGCCTTGGTCAGGTAGCTGTTCACAACAAAGGCGGTGTGAGCCGGGACATTGTCGTGGTGTAACTTCCAGTCGGCTGCGATGTCTTGTCGGACCCGGATTTTGGTAAATTTAACATCTGGGCAAACAAACGAATACTTAGTCGATGGTCTGAGTTCAAAACTTTGCGCACACGAGTCACATTATCGGTGTTTGTCGAAGTCGAAGGTCTTCCAGCACGGTCTTCATCAGCGACCTCTTCCCGGCCATCCAAAAAGGCCTGGTGCCACCGAAACACACCACTTCTTGCTAAAGCAACATCTGGGTAAGCCTGCTTGATCATATCAAACGTCTCTGTCGCAGATTTATCGAGTTTTACACAGAATTTAATCGCGTACCTTTGCTCTAACGAACGCTGCATTTTCGGCTTGCACCACTCACAGAAACACGTCGAGCGAAAATGCCTGTCCTGACTCTCCAAGTGCTCGGAGACAACTGACCAGCTGCTCATTCGTTAGCTAGGAACGCCCTCTACCGAATCCAGTCGGTGCGCGCACGCTCCGAAGTACAGCCATGGCGGAAGAAAATGAGTCCTATTACTTTCCGGACAAACCCTGTATGTTAAGAAACGCCGACAATTTTTTTAGTTGTTGGGGACTGGGGCTCAGCAAGGCGGTGGTCAGGGAGATTTTTCTTGGTTGAAATGGACAATTCTGCAACAATGACTAACCACAGTCAGCGCTGTTTCGTGCTCATTAGCAACTCCTCAGAGCGGTATAGGTCTAGTAGTCCTGGAGACAGATGCATATAACACAAAATGCGGGTATAATCTTTTGAAATATTCAAAAATTGAACTGTGCGGAAATAGGTTGGAAATATAGTGATCTCCACCTACCAGCGGTTTACCAAGCTGATCTTCATCCTCATTACATACGATGAAGATGACAGAAGACTATTACGCCTCTGGCCCATAACTGCTCGATGCTCTGCGCAATGCACAGATACATGTCGCATCATCATAACGGTCCACCCATCTAGTAGTCGGATTACTAAGTATTGACACAGCAGACCAACAGAGCCTTTTTATGCGTATATGCTGAACTGCATATGTTTGCTTTCCGTATCTGTAAGTATGACCAACCACAGACATTTTTGCGCTATTTTGTGTCCACCAACACCTCTGCGATTGGTTATGGTTGTGTCGATGGAAATCCATGGTTGCTGATTCTACTGTTATACGCTATGATCTGATTAAAAGTATTCAGGGGCAAAAAATCTGCTTTTAATCAAAAACAAATTATTGTATTTTTTAAGGTGTGTCGCTTCCTACGAAGTTTTGTTCTTAAAAAATTTTATTGTATTTCTGTGTATCCAATTTAAGTATCTGCAATATTTTAAATTTGTCCAGCTGTTATATTTTATCTTCCTATTCAATCTTCAGGTAAGCGCTCCAAGCTACAGAGAAACGTCAAAAACCGATGTTTGAGTGCTTTTTATTTTGTTCGATTTTTTTCTGTAGCTCCGCCACCACTGGATGGATCTTCAAAAACGACAAAGCTTGTTTGTGCTTGGCATAGCAGTTACAATGTTTAAGAATTCCTTCAAAATCCGAGCTGTACTTTTCAAGTTATAGAAGGGTCGATTATTAGCGGACAAGTAGACATACAGACAGACCAATGGAAATGAGTGGGAGGTTTTTCGTAATGTACATGTCATGTCACATCCAAAAAACACAATATCTTACTTTAGAAATTTTTCGCGATCATAACACTTTCTCGCTTGTTCTAATATTATATGACGTTAGCAAAAAAAGTGTCGTTGTATAAGGTCGTATGAGCTCGAGTAAAACAAGATTTTTTCATTATTTTAATTCATACTGTTGCCGAATTTCTCCATAAGCTCGTCAGGAATGGCCACAATATCGAACGATTTAGTATTTAGTAACTAAAATCATTTTGAATGACCTCTACGCCATCTTTCAATATCGTGGAAACTAATTGTGAGCTTTATTATAACCACCAATTCACCACTACATTCATGATATAAATTTAAGGTATACGAGCACATTAGCCATACCAAGACATCTCACAACCATGTTTCAGCGCTCTCACTCGAACCAAACCACTAAATATAATGCATTAGACATCAATATTAGTAGTACAGCAAATCATCATAAAAGGTCACTCTGAAAACAATATATTTTCAACACACAGTAACACAGAAATATTGGTAGCACGTAATATATTTATTATATTGTATGTACACTATAATATTGAAATTTAAGAAACATTTAATACTTCATTCATTCTTTCCACGTATTTCCATAGTTTATAGTAGAGTAATTTCGGGTAATATGGAATAGTACGGGTAATATGGAATAGCTTCTTATTTTTATGTAGGTAGCGACATCTGTATTTCAATACCTAAGCCAGCCTCTTTTACACCCTAAATACACAATAGCGTCGACAGGTTTCGCTGGTTGCCGTTCTCTAGTTTATAAACCGCAAATGAGCATTATTTGTGGTTATAAAGTTGTGCACGATAGTCATTAGAATTTTTGTAAAGGTGTTATTTATTTACAAATCTTGCTTATTTTGACAGGTGAGTCTATTCAAATGTTAAGTTACTGTTTTAGAGGGCTGTTACCATATTTTTTTCTTAAAACATATTTGCAGCGTGTATTTTTTCCTCAGTTGCTGTTTCGGGTAATATGGAATATTCCATATTATACTTACTGCTTCTAGGTATCGCATATTACCCGATGTTTTTGTTTTGAGATTTAACGATATTTGTGAAGAGACAAAAAGCCTAATTATCAGCAAAAATTGGGTCGTTTTGCGTATGAAACAAGTTTTTTTTGCAGAAACTATGTCGGCAAGAAAAAGAAAGCAATGGCAGTCTGATGATATGCGCAAAGCAATTGAAGATGTTAGAAGTAACAGGTTGGGCTATTTGTCAGCTGCAAAACGTTATAACGTTCCACGAGCAACACTTCATCGCTTGTTCAATAAAGAAGGTCCTCCTGATACTGTTTGCAGTACTACATTAGGCCGAAAAACAGCTTTGCCACCGGAATTGGAAACAGAACTAGTGAAGTATTTGTTGATCATGGATCAAATGTATTATGGATTAACCAGAAAAGATTTGCGATCCATGGCTTTTCAGCTGGTTGTATGGTTTTACGAAAAGGCACAAAGCTTCTTTGAGCATTCGAAAACCAACTGGCACTTCTCTAAATAGAGCTCTCGGTTTTAATAAGGAAGACGCCAATGAGTTTTTTAACCTGCTTGAGAAACTTATGACAGAAAAAAACTTTCATTGTGACAGGATTTACAATGTTGATGAGACGGGGTTATGTATTGTCGAATGTCCCGAAGTTGTCTCAAAAAGAGGAAAACGACAAGTAGGTGTACTAACGTCGGCCGAGCGAGGCTCCTTAGTGACTGCAGTTTTATGTATGAATGCAGCAGGAGGGTTCGTGCCACCCATGATTATTTTCCCTCGCAAAAATTCAAGTGAGCAGCTTAAGAAAGGAGCTCCTCCGGGCACTTTGTTTGCGTTTCACCCCTCGGGATGGATTCAGACTGAGCTCTTCACTAAATGGTTTGACCATTTTCTGGAAAGGACAAACCCCACCAAAGACAGTCCAGTACTCCTTATTTTAGATGGGCATCACACTCACACTCTAAATATTGACGTAGTCATAAAAGCCCGAGAAAATTTTGTAACAATATTATGTTTGCCTCCTCATACATCGCATAAAATGCAGCCTCTGGATAAAACAGTCATGGGTGCCCTGAACACTTTCTACAATGAGGAGGTAAGGCTATTTATGCGGGCACATAATGGAGCCGTAACACATTTTGATATGGGCGAGTTAGTTGGAAGAGCCTATACAAAAATCCAGACTGCGGAGAGGTCAATAAAGGGATTCAGTACAACTGGCATTTACCCCTTCGACGAGATGTTTTCTCCGATGAAGACTTCTTAGCCGAACAGCAAAGACATCATGTGCCCCATCCTGTCACAGCAGATTTTCCAGAAAATAATGAACCAGCGCTATGTCATTCACCAAACATTCTCCCCAAGGATATCGCACCAATACCACAACTGAAAAAAAAATAGGCTCGAGAGGAAGAAAACCTGGTCGTGCAAGGGTAGTAACCTCAACTCCGAATAAAGAGGAGTTAGAGGAATCTATTAATCGTTCACGTGAGAAAGTTACTAAGAGACTAGTCAATGAAGCAGGACCAAGTTCTCTTAAACAATCTGCGAAGAAAAAGCGAAAAGCACGTTCACCATCAACATCATCTTCATCATTAACATCTTCAGAACCCGTTCCCGCAAACTCCTCTGATGAAGATGATCTCCCCCTGTCATCTTATATTAGTCCCAAGCATTTGTGCTGATGACACGACGGAATGTATTTTTTGTCAAGAGATGTTCACGATGAGTAAAAGCAGAGAGGTATAGGTGAAATGTGTCATTTGTAACGGATGGGCTCATGAAGCTTGCACAAGTTGTGAAGGTGATATCTACATTTGCGATTTTTGCAAATAAAATTAAGGTCTATCTAATTTGTTTTATATTTGTTTACCTAACGTGAAGAATTAAACTTGTTTTTTCTTATTTTTCCTATGATTTACCCTATTCCATATTACCCCATATACCTATTCCATATTATACTTCTCTTTTGTTTGACAGATAAAAATAACTAATTGGAAAGTATTTTTCTCTACACAAAAATGAGGTTTGCTTCAGTTGATCTGGTGGTAAGCAATTGTTAGGTAACATCGTATAAGTGTTTCAACAAATTTTCAGAAGAAAAGGTGTATTATTTTTTCAGTTATTGAGAGAAATGAAAATGCTATTCCATATTACCCGAAACTACTCTATTATAAATACTTTTTTATATTCATATTTGTTGAGTAGATTGGCCAATGTCTAGATTCCGTCATTTGCTAGAAGACTATAGGTCCAGGATAAATGAGAGCAATAACAGAATAAAGGAGTTGCTCTTCATTATTGAAGAAGCGATTTCGTATCCCTTGGTACTGGCTTTTTATTCTAGGATTGGGCAAAAATTGTATACGTATTGTGATATTTTTATGATTGTGTCTTCTCGATTTCAAACTTCCTGCCATCAACATACCTCCACATACATATGTATAAAAGCTCCTTATACGTCTGGCAGCTCTCCATTTTGGCCGGGAAGTTGCGATGAAAAGAACTCACCGGTATGCACGAATAAAGTTGAATAACGTCTCCATCGAAATCGGTTTACGGTCTCGAAATCCGGACCTCTATGAAAATATCGCTGCTTCTGCTTCATTCCTCGTTACTTTTAAGGGTTATCTTTATATATTTCTTTTCAATACAGTATTTCGTAGCTAAAGTTGTTTAGGAATATGATCCCATTGAAATGTTCCCATATTTAACGTTACAATCTATTTGCTTATACTGTATATGTGTGTACGATATGTGTATACCTTTGAGACATAAGCGGCAGGAATGGACTCAAAGATAAAAAATGGCGTCAAATCGGTTGACTCTACACTTCCCACACAACACTGTGATGAGTTCATAAAGGAATACGTTCAGTACAACTTGGATCCTATCGAAATAATAGAGCTGATATCTTGGATAGAGGATAGTTGCTATGTTTTCGTTCATTCCAGATAGTTACAAACATATATAACAGAAAAATCAAACGGATCAAGTCCATCAAACAGGTCCGTTCAATTAGTCCATAACCCATTCTTCAACTGTCTACCCGTAGTACCATTCATCTGGCAACGTCGCGTTTCTCCACAATATTTGAAAGCATGATGAGCCACAGGCGACAAAGTTCCCGCACAGCACCAGTCATGCAGTACACGTATGAATAGCGGCTCGGCGGCCACTGCCGTTGATGTCAACAGACGCAGGGACGCTTGGCGAAAAGATTTTTCAACTTCGTTCTAAGTTTTAGGGACAACTGTACGGGTCAATCTATGATGTGTAAAAATGGTCTAAGTGTATTAATATACTAATATAAAAATTGCGATACACCCTTCTTCCGCCTACAACCATCACCCCCAATTAATTATTTACCCCTAAACATTTTTCAAAAAATCACGATCATCTGAAACTTCAAAAAACGAAGTCTGAGTGATTCCTATTTTTTTATTAGTGTTGGTCTTTTTCTCTGCCCTTACTGGACCAATTTGCAGCTTTTTCGTCTTTAGCATATGAGTAACCTTGTGTGAAAATTTCATCCAAATCCGACCGATACTTTCCAAGTTATAGATGGCGATAGTTAGCGGACATACAGACCGACATACACATATAAAGTAATAGTAAAGGTGATCTCCATGTGTTGTGTAACCTTCACTTATCTCATTTGATGTACATAAAAACCGAAGTAAGCGCCCAGATTTACAAAAAGTAACAATCTCTAACTAAGCTTCCAGCTAGACGCGGCTCATTCAACCTTGGTCAACGGGTCACTGATACTTCTTTAGGTTTGTGCATCATGAGAAATAGGCATATCAAAGGACAAACAATTTGGATGCTGGATCCTAATCGACCATACTCAACAAGTATGACGTCATCTTAAACGTTTTCAAAAATTGATCAATGGTTGGAAGGATATGTAGCGACACTGCTCATTTTTTACAAAATTAGCAGGTTCTTTGAAGAAAGAGCTTTTTTAAACTGTCACCTTCGTGCATATTATTGACGTAAGACTAAATATCAACCAATTAACAAATTCAGGGGAATACTGGATTTACATTTACGTAGAATCAGACCCTTCTGCCCTGCCGGCTTTTGATCCCAACTTCTATGGAGACTAAGATAAATTTCGCTCACCTTATATGCGGAACCCTTCAAATCAGAACTTTTCCATTGTCGAACATTTTAAACCTGTTGCGCCTTTTGAAAATATGTCCTTTTCCATATTATACCGAAATTTGCTGACGTTTTGACTATCCCGTTGGCATTTTTCGAAGTACAATGTAAAATTTTGTATCAGCAGGACTACACGACAAGTTATATTATAATTTTTGAACTGTTGTAGAAGTTTTAGACAAATAAATTAATTGATTTTAAAAAAGCTGACGTCTTCGTGAAGAAGCATCAGTAGTAAGACTTGTTGTTATGTTATCATCATTGCCAATCTAAACCGTCTAAAAACAGCGCATAGTAGATTAATGAATGATAAGATGATGCCCTAATCACTGTTTATATTACCAACAAAATCGATTACGGACAGTGTTCAAGAACTACTATAATATCTCTTCATCATGTGAAAAATCGTACATTGCTTGGTTCATTAACAGTAACAAAAACAATTGATATACTCTACCCGTTGAATTTTAATGATGAGGCGAAGCATTCTGGTTAATAAGTCCGAATTAGAGGTCTAATTAGTCACTATGAGAGCATCTAAAGATCATTTTAAAGTCGAATCAAGATCTAGTTCAAAATAAGTCTAGCATTAGGGTTTCTAGAAAGGAATTTGAAGGGTATATTGAGTCCAATGAGAGGGTAAATACAAAAAAGTTAAATAACTGTAATAGTTTGCAAAAGTCAGCAAAAACTGACAGATCTTATTTGACGGTACTTCAATGTTTGTAAACCTGGTTTATTCCAATTGGGCCAAACGGCGAAACCTTTTTTAAAGCCTATTTGAATATGTCTAATATAAGGAAGTGAAGCTAAAGACAGTAATCAGTTCAACTCACGGTGTACATGAAAACAACAACAATGACAGATTTATATAATACCAAATGAATGTTCATACTCCCTTTATTATGACCCATATCAAGTTGTTCAAATATTTGCAACACACAACGCAACGGATGATACTGATACTCTCCAATTTTTCCATTAAGAGTAGGGTTAAATGATACACCCAAAACTTTAAGTGTAATAGCCTGCCATTATTTAAGGTATTAACTCTAAAACAGGAAATAACATCCATTTTTTCTGATACTTTGTTTTTTCAAGTTTTGCTATTTTCGAAAAAATAGAGCAATGATGAAAGGAACTTTAGCTGAAATATATGCAGAACTCGAAATCTTGTTGAAATCAAGTTGTTACGGCAAGAACAGTTGAAATTAACAGAACTACCGTGATTCTGAAGAGACGAGATTAAGGATGATAAACCACCCAGAGTGAATGTTTTCTTGAATACCTACCAAGACTCTCTGGAACTGGAAAAACTCAATCCAAAACCAGCACTTCATTTGTTCGTCTTCCTTTTACATTTTGCATCAAGCTACATGCGCGTCTGAGATTTCATGGTAATCAATCTAAGTCATCGTGTACTTCATGAAGATGTTAGTACGTATTATTATTAGTAATTAAAGCATTCCAGAATTAATGGTATCTTTGCAGGCGGTCACTAGTTCTATCTGTTACACGGTCTGACAGCCACGTACACTCAAGATACAATCGTACGTACAACATACATCTTTTTTTACTAAAAATTTAGAAAGATGGATTGCGTGTTGTTGCGATTACATTGAGGGTTCATACTTTGATGATGATTATAGTCTAGGTAGTATCTCCACATCTTACATGAAAATATTTTGATTTGGATCCAGGACCCAGGTCCAAATTTGCATCAACAATTTCTTAAACAACTTTTTTTAACCGAATTCCAAAAACATGGTCGGCGGCCGGCTGCATCCCTCTCGCACTCACGCAGAGTATACACTGAGTGAGCGTGTGGTTAATAGTTAAAAGGCAAAGGTTTACAATGGCAATACCTACTGCAATGTTTTAGGATTTTATTAACGGATGTTTGAAGAATATTCAAGTCCTGAAAATTTACGTTTTTTACTTTACTTCAGTCATCCATCCTGACCGTGTCCAACTTCGTACATCCAGAATTGGCCGGTACGACTGCTCCTTTGTCCCTATGTTTCTTTCAGCTCCTGCGATACCGCGGAATTTAGACTTTGGCCTGCGCGGCCGCTACGGTATAAAAAAGAAAAAAAAATATTTAATTTTATACACATCCCCTCTCTTGACAAAGCTTTATCAGATACCTGCTTTTGGAAAGCAATTGGTTTGAATATTTGAGGTAAAATACACATAAAAAACTTGACATATACAATCCTATTTCACGATAGCGTTATTTGAGGAATGTCCATCTTCTGTTTTAATTCAGTCCCATCAGTGGAATATTAGCTTACAAGAAGTACTAGTAATTTCGTAATGGAACATATTAGGACCCACGTTTATATGAACTTTCTTTGTGATTTTTGGATATACCTTCTACCCTATAAATATTGCTGTGTTTTTCTGAAACAGCCTGTATAAATAGTTCTTCTTACTGTTTTTAAAAATACTGTTGGGATGTATCACAGTGATTGCGACGGAAATCCTACTAAGCGCAACTTACTCGATTTCATCTCTG